GAAATAGGGGGGGGGGTGTAAAACTACGCTTCAATGTTTAATGCCTTTATGATATTTTTTGTCAAAAAAGGGGGAACGAGGCTAAGCCCCCCCCACCCCCACCCTCCATGGTTCTGACGCTTATTATACAGTTTAAAGTATATCATTGAGGGAGTTTACAAGATTCCAGTTCCCCAAAACCAGGACTATCTCCCGTTTTATTATACCGATACAAATTTAAATTGTAAAGATCACCTTTTTAAAAAAAAAAAAGAATATGCATTATTTGTCACCCATCAATAATCATTATGATTTGTCATACATTTAATATGAGTGATATTGTGGGGATCCGAACACCCCACCCACCCACCCATTACCCTCAGGCTATTTTTTTTTTCGTTAGAAGACTTCACTCTCTCTTAGCTTCTCATTTTATGTCCAGGCTCTACCTCCCTTAAGAATGTACTCTACTATAAACTGGCTTGCTAATCTTGGCTGCCCTCTTTCCCTTAGACCTGAAGTTGAACATGTTACATTTGAGAGAAGTAACTCAAAATAAAAAGAGATAAACAAGTAGCCTCCCTTTGACTTTTTGTCATGTGGCATGAAGGCGAGACTGAAATGTACCTGCAACCATAAAGAGCTGTCACTATATCGGTACATATAGCAGTGTACATAAGTTATTCGTTTTTATATACAGGTAAACTTCGGTATCTCGACATCGGATATGTCGACAACCTGGGATATGTCGACATCCGTCCGCGGTCCTGGCATTATTTACTATATAAATGATTTGCAAAACCTCTGATATGTCGACCTCGGTAATGTCGACTACCCAGCTTATCTCGACGTATTTCACAGCCCCAAGAGCAAAATTTACCTGGTATATGTCGACATCGGGGTAATTTTCTGCTCTACTTAACCTAATTGTTTGTCAGCTCGTCGCTCGTCACGTACGAACGACTCCATGTATCTCGACGTCGTCAGAAATTCACACCTTTCACACCCATGTTTTGACTACACACTGCTCTGTAGAACTGTGTTTGTAGAGGAATCCTAAGCCCCCTCGGTGTCTCTAATACGTTAATTGTTTAATGTTCAGCTTAGGTAATATCACTGATAAATCTTCTCGATTCTGCGTTAATGTAAAACCGTTTATTTATGTCGAAATCTAACAAAACTTAAACATTTTATTAAAAAAAGTAACTGAATAACAATGAACAATATACACATTGAATTCAATTTAACTTAAAAATTGTGGTAAAAATGCATTAATCAGGAATCAATCAAATCCACGACATGCACGAATATAGCATCAGCCGTAATATGGATTCATGTACAGTAACATCATAAGTTTGTTAATGCACAATTCCAATTAAATTTTGGTTTGAAAATGAAATGAAAATTAATGATGAATGATTATGAAATAAAAAAAAGTGAAATGAAATAATTTTTAAAAATATACGCATTAATTATTTTCCGTATCTCGGAAGTCGACTTTGTACCGTTCCGGTTTGGAGTTCATAGAGCGCATTTCATATCCTGTTCTGACAGAGCGGTATGTGGATCGAATGCTGGATGGAAAACGGTTCTCAGTAAAATGTGAATTTCGATTTTAAAAAAAAAAAGCATTTCATAAATAACATTTGTGAATAACTTCTTAGAATTTCTAATAGATATAGAGGGAGAGCTGAAACAAATGAGCTAGTCTAATTGAAGACATGTAGGTACCTGTAGTTATACGTCTGTTCAGTTAAGGTCTATGGTTTTACTATGCAGTAAAATTAAGGACGTCGAGTGTCAACTCTGATATCTCGACACCTCGGACATCTCGACATTTTCCAACTGTCCCGTCGATGTCGAGATAACGAAGTTTACCTGTATTTTCGCAATTTGTTTATTTCAATAGATCTAATTGAATTTTCAACTCGAATTTTCTAGATTCAATACTTTGTTAGGCCTACATATGTTATAAACTCTCGGATCGGAAAATATTTTTAATAATAAACTTTTTAAAATTAAGCAGTCTTCTTGAAATGCCAACAGCAGTTTCTGAAATGCATGTTGGTTTTGGATAGGGCCTGTGGCTTTGTGCGCTTGTAGGCCCTATCTTGACTCAGCCAAACGTAAATCATTTTTAGTTCACCTGAGCCGAAGGCTCAAGTGAGCTTTTCTGATCAAAATTTGTCCGTCGTCTGTCGTTGTTGTCGTTGTCGTCGTCGTCGTCGTAAACTTTTCACATTTTCATCTTCTTCTCAAGAACCACTGGGCCAATTTCAACCAAACTTGGCACAAAGTATCCTTGGGTGAAAGGGATTCAAGTTTCTTAAAATGAAGGGCCACGCCCTTTTCCAAGGGGAGATAATCATGAATTTGTTAAAAATTAATGGCATTTTTAAAAAATCTTCTTCTCCAGAACCGCTGGGCCAGGAAAGATGAAACTCATGCGGAAGCATCCTCAGGTAGTATAGATTCAAGTTTGTTCAAATCATGACCCCCGGGGCAAGGGTGGGGCCAAAATGGCCAACCCAAGTTTTACATAGGAATATATAGGAAAAATCTTTAAAAATCTTCTTCTCCAGAACCATTGGGCCAGGAAAGATGAAACTCATGTGACGTTATCCTCAGGTAGTGTAGATTCAAGTTTGTTCAAATCATGACCCCCGGGGTAAGGGTGGGGCCAAAATGGCCAACCCAAGTTTTACATAGGAATATATAGGAAAAATCTTTAAAAAATCTTCTTCTCCAGAACCACTGGGCCAGGAAAGATGAAACTCATGTGGAATCATCCTCAGGTAGTGTAGATTCAAGTTTGTTCAAATCATGATCCCCGGGGCAAAGGTGGGGCCAAAATGGCCGACCCAAGTTTTACATAGGAATATATAGGAAAAATCTTTAAAAATCTTCTTCTCCAGAACCACAAGGCCAGGAAATATGAAACTCATGTGGAATCATCCTCAGGTAGTGTAGATTCAAGTTTGTTCAAATCATGACCCCCGGGGCAAGGGTGGGGCCAAAATGGCCGACCCAAGTTTTACATAGGAATATAAGAAAAATCTTTAAAAATCTTCTTCTCAAGAACCACTAGGACAGGAAAGATGAAACTCATGTGGAAGCATCCTCAGATAGTATAAATTCAAGTTTGTTCAAATCATGACCCCCGGGGCAAGGGTGGGGCCAAAATGGCCGACCCAAGTTTTATATAGGAATATATAGGAAAAATCTTTAAAAAATCTTCTTCTCCAGAACCATTGGGCCAGGAAAGATGAAACTCATGTGGAATCATCCTCAGGTGTGCAGATTCAAGTTTGTTCAAATCATGACCCCCGGGGCAAGGGTGGGGCCAAAATGGCCGACCCAAGTTTTACATAGGGATATATAGGGAAACCTTTTAAAATCTTCTTTTCAAGTACTTCAAAGCTATGATTAGTGATATTTATATGGAATCATCCTGAGGTAGTGTAGATTCTACTTTGTTCAAATGATGAACGCCTGGAGGGGGGGGGGGGAGTAAATTCAAGCCCGATGTGCTCAGGTGAGCGCTGTGGCCCCTGGGCCTCTTGTTATCATTTATGACGCCAGTCAATGCAAACTTCACCATGTTCACGACATACACAATTTGTGTTTTGTAAATGGGGTAAACAATAATTTTCAGTTTATATATATACATCCTGGTAGTTGCTACCGATGTAATTGTTTATGTTAAAAATATATTAATATATTCTAGGCTTAATTCCGACTTGGTGACAATCAAGTTTCTCGGGTGATCTCCCTTTGATTACATAGTGACCATGGAGATGAGGAGACTGGATCGGGAGATAAAACATGAATACATTGTTTGTAAAATAAATAAGATTTGGGGGAAAGAGTATCCATTTTTTAAAAGATATTTCAGCATAATCAATGATAATTTAAACCTAGATCAGCTGCGCTTGACTAAAAAGTCTTGGGTTAGGAATGAGGCGCGACAAGTCGACATTATTGCATCTTCATGCAGTCATGCTTATAGAGACTCCGAGAGATTTTCGTACTTTTTTGCACCACAACACAAAATAACTTATAATAAATGGTACATTTGCATTTAAAAACCAATTAAAATTTACAAAAGCAACATAGAGTCTTGTTTCTTTTTTATTAATTTGGGTAAACCCCTATTATTTCCACTTTGGTGGTCGGTGCGAAGAGATTTGAATCGAACGAAAATTAGATATTTCGATGTGGCGACACCCCTTGAACAAAATAAAATAACACTCTATTTGTTCATTTTTTAATTTTCTTTTTAATGGTGTGAATCTTATTTTGTTCAAAGGGTGTGGCCACAGCAAAAATTTAAATCAAAGACAAAAAAATGCTAAATTTTGATAAAAAGTGGCAAAGTTCACGTGTTTAGATGTTTTCTGCACAAATATGACGTCATTAAATGAAAATTTCGGCGTAAACTATTCAAGTTTGATACCTAAGGATAATATTTCCGTAAATAATTTTCTTCTTTCCCTCACTTTATTTTTCCTAAAATCATTAGGCCGATTTAGCACATTCGTGGATTTAGCTCTTTTAATTATAGGAATATATAGGGAAAACTTTTTAAAATCTTCTTTTCAAGTACTTCAAAGCCATGATTAGTAATATTCATTTGGAATCATCTTCAGGTAGTGTAGATTCTAGTTCGTTCAAATCATGTCCCCTGGGGGCCTAAAATTCAAGCCCCCCCCCCCCCCCCCCCCCCCCCAGCCTCAGTAAATTTTCAGTTCTGATATGTGCTTTTTCCTAGCCAATGTGCTCAGGTGAGCGCTGTGGCCCCTGGGCCTCTTGTTGAAAAAATTTTCTGCCCATCTCCTTAAAAGCAAAAATATAAGTTTTAATATGCAAGGGTATAACGTAATATTTACAAAATTTTTAAAAATCTGGACGATTTGGTGCTGGACAGGGCTCTATTAACTTTTATTCTATTGAGATAAGTTATTCTCCTTTGCCGTTCATCTTTCAGTTGATGATTTAACTATAATCTGTTTATTTTTTAGATTTATTTAAAAATAATACACAAGCAACAGCACCTGCAGATGAAAGAGATGTGCATCAAAATCCTGAAGGTGAATCTGTTAAATATGATTTGAAAAATAAATCTGGATAAAGTTATTTCAAAACAGAATCAAATTTTGAGGTCATTCAAGGGGCATGGGTGTGTATTTGAAGTTTATATTTAAGGAACTTCTTTTATCAGGAAATTAGTACATGTGTATTAAAGTTTTAAATAGGTCACTTTTCTGTAAGCTAAATCATAATGATTCTATTGATTTCAAAATTAGCAAATATGGGGTAATTGTATATTGTGCATCATATAAATTCATGCAACTCTTCATACCAAGAAAATGAAATTTAAACCACAACAAAAATAAGTGATATCACAGAAGCTGGAAATGTTTTAGAATATTACAAATTTACTGCAGCATATAATAATGTTAAGTTATGTCTTTTATGAAATTAGATAAATAAAGGATTTTTGAGAAGTATATTTTGGATAAGTGGTCATATAGGAAACATGATTAAAAATTGCAAAGAAAATTGGGGGGGGGGGGGGGAGGGGGGTAGTGTGCATTTTACTGACAAGGGTACAATTAACTTGACATTTTTGCACTAACTATATTTATCAGATCTAATCGTGGCAATAAATGTTATCTTATTTTACCTAATGATATAGTTTTAATAATATATACCAGTGAACAGCTAGGTCTTGCAAATTAATGTGCATAAATTATGTTTGAACTTTTTTGCGATTTTCGAACAATTTTTGAACAAAAAAATGTAAACTTTTAAATATCATGAATTCTTTGTTAAATTTTAATATTATTATATTAATATTGCAAAGTCTATGGATTGATTGTGTAAATTTTGTTTTTGAATAATTGGAACCTAGCATATAAGGCCATCATTAAAAATAGTAATGTTTGATGTACTCCGACCCATATTTCTCAATGTGGGTAGGTAGGTAAGTATTTAAATTTTTTTTGCATAATACAGTATTGAACAAATTGATTGATGACATAAAAATCACAGACTCGGAAATTTATTGATGTTTTCATTACACACTCAGAAAACAACACTACACAATTTGATTTTTTATTGCTTAAAAATTTTTAATCCAAAAACATCCTAGAGAAATTATATACTGAAAACCAACTTTTATTTGTGTCATGTGTGTGCAAGAAAATTTTGTGAGATTCAGGAGAGCCTCGTCATCATGAATATATATGCATGGACACGAACAAGTCCTTAAGGTCTATATGTCCTTAAATAACAGATCCAAAATAGCTTTGATTGAAAAAATTAATCATCGCGAACTAGTTTACCCCTGGTAATCCGCGAAATAAAGTTGTCGCGAATAAAAGTTGGTTAACAGTACCTTTTAAATTGAATATTAACGATTTGTTAAGTATAGTTAACAATTCGTTAAGTATAGTTTTCATCTGTAAAACTATATTTAACGGTTGTTCACTATAGTTGACGAATGATAATCTAAGTTTATCTGTCTGTAATAAGCGTTAACAATAGATTTTGTTGATAAACATAGATTCATGTTTGTAAACTATAGTTTACAATTGTAAACTATAGTTAAGAGTTGTTAATCATAGTTTCACAAATCGTGAAACTATATTTATCAGATCGTTAACTATAGTTAACAGTTTGTAAACTATAGTTTACAAATCGTGAAACTGTATTTATCAGATAATCTATGTTTTGCAATGGCAAATGATTGTTTTCAGTGTTAAGTATAGTTTACGGTTGTGAAACATAGATTATCGCGTTAACTATGGTTTACGGATGAAAAATATAGATGAACGTTGTTAACTATAGTTTACAGTCCGTAAACTATAGTTTACAACCGATAAACCTAGTTTATTGACTGTGAAACTATGTTTAGCTCATTTTTGTGAATTTGGCGTGCCATATATATACATTGTATATTATATTTCAGAGACTGTACCTATAATGTTAGAGTCTGAGGATCATGAACACAGGGCAGAAGATAATGGTAGTTTTTTTGTTGTTGTAAATTTAAATATTTGGACAGCTTACTTTAGTTCAAGAATGTCTGGTATTTATTGCAGTAATGCATGTGGGATTTTTAAATCAGTGATAGCATTTCCTCTATGTCACTAAATTACCAGTAGATGTTCAGTATACTTATGTGGATTAAGTACTTTTTTGCTGGCTCACGTGAGCTGAAAGTTTGAGTTTTTATGATCACCAGTTGTCTGTCGTCCCTCCAATAGTTCATAAACTTTTCACATTTTCAATACATTTTCAAGAACCATGGGGCCAAATTTAAATTGAATGGTTCAAAACATCCTTCAGTGAAGGGAAAGGATGGCCCCCCTGATAAATTGACAAAAATTTCAATGTCCAAATTTTCCTCAAATTTTTGTATTTAACTAATCACTGATATGTGTATACTTTTATGGAATACTATTTTTAACAAAATAAGATATGAAAATGTGAAAGGAGAAAATTGTACCTTTCAGCACTCACATGCTATTTTTTAAAAAGTTGTAAAATCTAGCTGGCCTTTCCTATTATGAACAGATCGACAAAACTGGATTTTCTGACGTAAGACTAAATTCTTAGAGGTAGGTCCACAATTGAAGTCTAAGTTTAACATTGAAATATAATAAAAAAAATCTTGAAAAATCTTCTGAAGAATCATTGAGCCAGAAAAGCTGAAATTTATTTGGAAGCATCCTTAGTAGAGGTAGTGTAGATACTAGATAAGATCATGACCCATGAGAATGGGTTGGGCTACAATAGGTATGACAAGGGAAAATCAGGTGAAGAACCACATGACCAAAGTTAACTCATATGAGTGTTGTGGCCCGTTGGCCTCTTTTTTTATACTTAAAACAAATTTTAAAAATATTTTTAGAGCTTCCTATGGGTGAGCAAAGCAGAGGAACAGAAAGTATTGCCCACACCTGCAGTGAAAATTCCACTAGTTACACATATCCAGGTGTTCTTACAAAAGTTCCTCTTCCTGTATCTTCAACCATACAGGAGGATAGACAAGGTCAGCAGATTCTCAAAGATAGTTAATTATTATAGCTTAATATTTTGTATAATATAATTAGTTCATATTAATAAACTAGATTAGCCAAGACAAAAAATACAGAGATTTGTTAATAAGGTACAAGTATTCTTAATTTGAAAAATAAAATATGTTTTGTGAGCATTATATTCTTCTTGCAAAGGAAAAAATAAAATTTTCTAATTCAGATGGAGGAGCACATTCAAATTTAGAGGATGGGGAGCTTCAAGTTGATTCTGAAGAAATTCAGTTTACAGGTCCAGAAGAATTTTCTCCCATGTGTGTGAATGATCCTTGCAATAGTGAGTTGATTAAATGAAAGTAAATGATTCAAATACTTTTTAAATATACACTGAACATTTTATACAAACTGGTCAGCTGTACATATAAAAACAAAAACATGACAGATGATTGAAAAAGAAAAGAATAAATAACTAAGAATGGAAAAATACATCTGAATATACTCTAAATGAAATCCTGCAATGAATAAAAAATGACTTTATTTACAGAAATACAGCAAAATCATAAAATTCACTTTTTACAGCATTGCAATCTTGGAATGATGGTCTTTCTTCATTCATATCATCCTTTAAACTGTTTCCTTCCATCTAAAAATATTATATGCCACTTAACGAGGCCGAGTCTAATTATTTTTATACCCCCCGCAAACAAAGTTTGGGGGGGTATATAGGAATCACCTTGTCCGTCTGTCTGTCTGTCCGTCTGTCCGTCTGTCTGTGCAATCGTGTCCGGTCCGTATCTTTCTTACAGAGGGACATTAGAATCTACTACTCCACACTAAGATTGCTCATGACCTAAGGGTGTGTCATGACCATGACCCAAGGTCATTTGGGGAAGTTCAAGGTCACTGGAAGAAAAATTTAATAATTCGTGTCCCGTCCATATCTTTCTTATGGATAAACTTGGTAGGTTCTCATTTCACACAAAGATTGCCCATGACCCAAGGGTGTGTCATAACCTTGACCCAAGGTCATTCGGGGAAGTTCAAGGTCACTGGAAGAAAAAATTCAAAATTCATGTTTGATACATATCTTTTATGGATAAACTTGGTGGGTTCTCATTTCACACAAAGATTGCCCATGACCCAAGGGTGTGTCATGACAATTGACCCAAGGTCATTTGGGGAAGTTCAAGGTCATTGGAAGAAAAATTTCATAATTCGTGTCCGGTCCATATCTTTCTTACGGATAAACTTGGTAGGTTCTCATTTCACACAAAGATTGCCCATGACCCAAGGGTGTGTCATAACCTTGACCCAAGGTCATTCGGGGAAGTTCAAGGTCACTGGAAGAAAAAATTCAAAATTCATGTTTGATACATATCTTTTATGGATAAACTTGGTGGGTTCTCATTTCACAAAAAGATTGCCCATGACCCAAGGGTGTGTCATGACAATTGACCCAAGGTCATTTGGGGAAGTTCAAGGTCATTGGAAGAAAAATTTCATAATTCGTGTCCGGTCCATATCTTCCTTATTGATAAACTTGGTAGGTTTTCATTTCACATAAAGATTGCCCATACCCAAGGGTGTGTCATGACCTTGACCCAAGGTCATTTGGAGAAGTTCAAGGTCACTGGTAGAAAAATTTCATAATTCGTGTCCGGTCCATATCTTTCTTATGGATAAACTTGGTAGTTTCTCATTTCACACAAAGACTGCCCATGACCGAAGAGTGTGTCATGACCTTGACCCAAGGTCATTGGGGAAGTTCAAGGTCACTGGAAGAAAAATTTCATAATTCATGTCCGGTCCATATCTTTCTTATTGATAAACTTGGTAGGTTCTCATTTCACTCAAAGATTGCCCATGGCCCAAGGGTGTGTCATGACCTTGACCCAAGATCATTTGGGGAAGTTCAAGGTCACTGGAAGAAAAATTTCATAATTCGTGTTTGATACATATCTTTATTATGGAAAAACTTC